GCAAAACGTCGGTCGGGTATTTTCGATCTTGAACTCTTGGAGAAGCTTGCAGAACTTTTGGAGCAATCACCAGAGATGTTTACGATGTGGAACTATCGTCGGGAAATATTACTTAATACTGTCAATTTCGATCTTCCAACTGATGCCAGATCCCGAATATTTGATGACGAACTTACATTAACGTCAAGGTGTTTTTTAAAGAATTCAAAATCCTACGCGACTTGGCATCATCGGAGATGGATAATGTTGCACCATCCACGTCCCGATTGGAAGAATGAGCTGGATCTTTGTAACAAAGCTCTTAGGTTGGATGGACGGAACTTTCATTGTTGGGATTATCGGAGGTTCGTCGTTGAAAGCTCCCGTACACCAAATACTACTGAGCTCTACTTTACTTACATGACTCTGGAGGAGAACTTCAGCAATTACTCTGCTTGGCATTACAGAAGCGGATTAATTGGAGCGGATGATGAAGTTTGCACAGTTGCCACTCCAGTTAGTCCACCACCTACATTTGAAGTCGATCGTAAAAATGAAATTTCCGATTTCCCATGGGATGAATTTGATCTTGTTCACAATGCCGTTTTTACGGACCCCAAAGACCAAGGACCCTGGTTTTACTATTCATGGTTGCTTGGGCGTGGTGTAAAAAATTGTTACCTTCGTGAACTTTATCTTTCAAGGAGTCTGCAACGTGCCGTCCTAGTTTTTACGTCCCCAAAACTTAAGAGTGCCATAAGCCACTTGCATGTTGACATATCAGTGAGAAACCCATCCACCAATACACTCAACTCTTATACTCCTAGTAATCTTGATGGCTGGAAAAGCGCTCTGAATGATAATATTTCTGCCGTGTGGTGGTTTGAGCTCCCAAAGACCATTATCGATGGATGCACGGTATCTGTGACAGTCCACTCCGAGGAAAGGGGAGATAAGACTGCTGTTTGCTCCTCCACAGTTGAAGACTCCAAAACATGGCTCTTTTGTAAGATGGAAGCAGATCAAAAAGAATCATTGACCAGAGTCGCTCTTGATCCCCGACGCCTTCTGAATTTTATGGTTTCTCCTGTTCATGAACCATCCAGTTTGATGGGTGAACTCGATACTGTTCGTGAACTTGTTGCATTGGAGCCTAATAACAAGTGGGCGTTGTTTACCCTTGTCAATTTGCTTCGTTATATTCGTCCGCCCAACTGTGCGAATGAAATTGAGGCTGCCGTCGAAACCTTGAAGACTGTGGATGGTCACAGGAAGCGTTATTACGCTGATATGGCCAGTGCACATGCTACCGAAGATGCTCTTGTTGCATCCTTTGCCGTTAATTCACGCGTTCTCAACCTTTCCGGAGTTGGATTGACTCGTGTTTGCTGCCTTGATTGGTGCAGTCTTATGACGGACCTTAACTTCTCTAACAACAACTTGGATATGCTTCCAGGAACATGTGCTTATCTTGTGTGTCTCAAAGAACTTAATTTAGATGACAATCGAATATCCTCGCTGGGGCCTATTGCTGGTCTTCCCCAACTAAAACACGTGTCTGTGTGTCGCAACCTCATCATCCATTTTGAGGGACTTGAACCCATTCTTTCTTGTCCCAATCTTCGTGACCTTGATATTACTGGAAATAGAGTTGCTGAGTTGTCCAACTTTACAGTTCTCCTGGCCGAGCATCCCTACTCAAAGGGTAGTCACAATTCCCTTAGCGTTGTTTACAATAAACCAGTCAAGACATGACTGACGGCAGTCTGTGCAAATCGTTTTATATTTACCTCGTAACATTTACCAACATCCTCACACTTGGTTTTTTTGCGGCTCTCCAAAGGTATTGATAGGTGTTAAGGTGTATGTGACGACCTCCAGGATTCAATTTAACTGGTTCCGCGCCGTACATCTGTCTTTACAGCATTCCTTTGTTGTTACTTTACTTTTTGTCATATCGGCATTATGTTCCGGAATAAATGTCTTGATTATGAACTATTTTGCTTCTTGATCGAGATTGCTTGTGCTGTCAAAGTTTAGGCTTGTGGAAACTTGTTTAAAGCATCTTCGTTCATTGAATTGAATTCACTTTTGTGTATTTGGTTTCTTTCTTGGCTTTCATTTATTTTCAAAGGGTTTGAGGATAAGGTACGCATCATTTTGTATTACTACTTATTTGGTCGTGTACCCTGATGCAATACTCAAGTAGTGCCATATTTTCGGGTGTTTAGTTGAGTTTCAGATCAAAATATTTGACGACTGCTAGCAAATGACCCTACTTAGTAGTTGCTCATAGTTTCCTTTCTCACAAATTATGTTCGTGGGTTCACCGATAGATCTTCTCAGTAGTTTTGACCGGAGTTGACAATAGATATCAACTGCTTTGTTGTTGCCCTTAATTTACTATTGATTCCTTCATGACGTAGTTTTAAGGAGTTTCACACAGATCGGTTGCTATTGCGAAGGTTGCCTTGAAAAGCCGAGATAAGGGAGCAAATGGCATACCTCATGCTGTTTACTATCGGTGGTCCGCAGTTCCTCGTTTTTAGGTACACTTGACGATATGCGTAAAATTAATTTATGCAAAGCCGGCATGGAGGGTCTCGATGCGCAGACGATTGACAGAATCATTGAAGATAATTCGAAGGGTAAGCCGAAAGTAATGGATTTTATTGTTAGTTTTACTTATATCAGGGGTAAATTAAATCGACGTTTTGGAGGTTAACTTGATTGCACTAGTGGTAGAAATGCTACACAATTGTGAAATGTAAATATCCAACGTTGAATTGTATCAGTAGGAAATTTCCACCTTTCAACTGCATGATCGAACAAGAAGTTGGGATACCGCAAGTCTCCAGTTTCCATGGCGGCGATTGTCGGTGAACATAATTCGAGTTTTTTAACCTTTTCTCAGGGTCAAAGTTTTATGAAAATGAGATGCGGCGTGGCGCTATTCTGAAGGAACAAGTTGAAAGGAAGTTAGCGAAGCTCCACTCCCTAACTAAAGAAGAAATTGATGCGGGTGAGAGGGAGGTAAGCTCTCTGTGCGGCGTACATACTTATCCACACTCGAAACAAACAGAATCTAAATGAAACCAATGTATGCATCAGCCATTTCATGCATAATTTACTTTACTCAATTCACATTTTTGAATGGGTTTAGGTGGAATCCATGGCCTTGGTAGTTTTGCTTTCTTGGTACATTTATGAGAATCTGAAATTCGAGGTCTTTTGAAACCTGGATCACGAATTTAGTTGGCAGCCCGTTTGACTAGTTCCAGCATGACTAACAGCTAATTCAAAGTTAACAACTATGTGGATTGGTATGTTTCAATCAGTTGGGCAAAACTTTTTCACTAACACTCCTCCTTGAAAGGACTGCGGCATCTCACTTTCTGCACAAAGCTGATATCTTTGTCTGCTTACTTGCCATACGCAAACTTCTTTTTTAGTGGTGTATGATGTAATCCGATTCGCCAATCGATCTCGAAAACTAACACATCCTTCTTACTATCGAGCTTCATTGTGTTTGAACGCGTAGAAGGGCTTGCCCACGCTCCCATATTGGCAAAACTCGATTTTATAAAATGGAACCTGAGCTGCAACAATTGTTATCGAATCCCTCGGTCATGCGTACATAAAGCACCAAACTAGGGGCAAAATCGTCGCAAAGTTCTCATCCTCATTAATTCTCTTACCGATTGTCAATTTCAAACAGAAAATATTGCTGTAGACGGGGTATTCTTGTACTCATTTTGTAAATTCGGTTTTTTTACGTCTGAGCACCTTTATGGACATATTTATACATGTACCTTATGCATTTGTCATCATTTGAGTAGTTACTAAACGTCGCCCAACAGTGACTACTCAATAAATAAAGGAAGCATTCCTCACCTTCCTCCTTTTTGATTTATTGATTTTTTGGATCGGTTAATTGGATATGGGCGAACATGCCTTTGCTCCCTTTATTGTGCTGCGACCGCAGGGCAATATCAAACCTGGTTACTTTTACTTTCTCATTGCAGGCTGACAAACTGTTGAGAGGTTACTCCGCCGAGAGACGGTTCGATAGGTGTATTGTTCATATTGACATGGATGCATTCTACGCGGCGGTGGAAATGCGAGATGATCCTTCGCTCCGCCTCCGACCCCTGGCTGTTGGTAGTCAGAGCATGTTGGTAAGATGTTGGGTCATTCTCTTCCAATCAAACGATTGGCTGTTTCAGACCTCTCTTGGGATCAGTTTACGCATAACAGTTTTTGTGCCTCTGTTGCAGTAATTCAAATATCCAGCACAACTGAAATCAATTTACATGGTCTTGTACGTAACACTAATAGTGTATCCATGTTGTAATTGAAACACTTTTCATCCTTTTATTCTCCTACCGAAAGCAAAGGATTATTTTGCGATCTGCTAGGGTTGGATTGGTGCAAGCTTAACCTTGAAATGGAATGCGACTTAGAGTAGGATTTAGGACGCACGTGAATTTGGGACTACCTGGGATTAGATTCAGTTCTACGCCAAGCGGCTTTTCTTTCCTCTTTAGTCTTGTACTTGTACGTTGAGGTAATTGCATGTTAAAGCCTTGCCAGTCTTGCTAATTTTGTATTTTGATAGCACGGTGTGATTAATCAATACCTTCATAAGTACGCCAGTTCATTAACTTACGGATAAATGCACTTATCATAGTGATACAGTCTAAGGTGCTTCAGATGCAAATGCCTTTAACCATTTCACAGATTTGCGGAGGAAAGTAAAATCGACATATTGGGCCATAAGATGGGACCATAGTTACTAGATAGCATTGCTGTAGCCGAGTCTCGCCAAAGGCTGTAAGACCGTAGAGTTAATTCTAAATTGTTAAAAACCAACAGATTAAATCATGCCTGAATTACATTATTTTTTACGCCTTACACCGGTAATACCCAGTGGCATTTCGATTGGCTTCATGTCTGCGTATTAATCCAGCTACGTTCAAGCATCTTCACCTTCCCACCAAGTAAGCCTTACCAGCCTTATGTTGAGCTTCCATCACCCCACATACAGCTTTGTTCCCAATTTCGAATGCATTTTGTACGACAGACCGTCCTGTTTGAGTGATTACCAGGATAAACTCATTTTCATCAAAAGATTATGTGCTTTTAGATAATGATGGTCTATATGTAATATTCTTCAGTGTTCTTGGTTGATGTTGGCCATATTTTCTCCTCTGCCACCCATTCTGATGTCTTTCTTTCTAGCGAACTTTCATTAAATTATCAATATCGTGACAGCTGTAATACTTCAGTTTGGATGCACACCAATGCCACTTTAAAATGTAGTGGTTTGTATGAAGTCTCCCCCGTTTCATGTTTCATGAAAGGTTAGAGAACTGAATTTTGCATTAATATTCATTGAAGATCTTTGTAATGTCTAACATTATTTTAAAGTCTAAAGCAGAGGTTGAACTTCTTTTCAACTAAGGACTTAGTAAAAATGCTGACTTTTTACTGACACTTATCACTGTTGCTCATCGCTAGTTCTGACGAATGGCATAGTGCATATCTGCAAAGTCACTACTACAGTTTTAAGAATTTTTTTACAGTCGACAAGCAACTACTTGGCGCGCCGGTTTGGTGTGCGAGCTGCAATGCCGGGCTTTCTGGGCATAAAACTCTGTCCTCAACTAACTATCGTACCGCCAGACTTTGTCAAGTACACCGAAGTAAGTCGGGCGGTGCGTTCTATCCTAGCAGAGTACTGTGAGGGCGGACCCACTGGACTCGTCGTGATGAGTCTAGACGAGGTCTACTTGAATATCAGCAAGCACCTTAAAGAGCGCATTGACTGGCCACCCAACGAACGCACTTATTGGCCGCGTGCGGCACCCAAGACACCCATGCTTGTCTGTCGGTACGATATTCGTATCTCTTCGAAAGCATTACCTCGTTCTGCATCAGCTTAAATGCGCATTTGCGAATCGCTAATAACTCAGGTTTCACTTAAAAGCTGTAAGGTTCCGCAACAAGGCAACCCATACCCAAATCATATTATGGGTGCATAATTAGCATATTCAAAGTTAAATGCAACTAACGAGCTTTAACTTTTGCGATAAAAGTCGACAATATTTCACTCTTGATTTTTATGTGTACTAGCATATGCTCTTGATTGTCTGCTGATGTATTCATTAGGTTAATGATCATTCTGTTTCATAGGCATCATTGTGGTGCAAGTTTATGAAGTCTGTTTTTTAAGGTAGGTCCTAGGTTATATAAGCCTTTTTCTCCTTTTATAACTGAGGATACTTTGGCTTTTATATAAACTTTATTTAGATGTGCCAGGACTACTCAAGGCTCCGACATAGCTGATCTGCTAATGACTTCATCAGCCTCGAATTCCCCCACTAAGCTCTCCGCTGTAGAGGAAGACAAAAGCGGTTGCAGAGGTTCTCTTAACGTCCTTTCCCTCGTGGTCGGTACAGATGACGAGCTTGCGACGTGTCTGCTTTGCGGAATGCTGATCAGACCTGGTCCACGTTTGTTTGGGACAAGTGCAGAAGAGGCTGTCCGTGAAATGAGATTCCGAGTGTTCTGTGCGACGCGCCTCACCTGTAGTGCTGGTCAGTTCAAATTATACTTCTCATAATTTTCCTAAACTTGAATTTGAACGTCTTCAGATCGACTAACTCAGTCCCATTCATCTTGAATGTTTTTTTACTAGATAGCCGTCATAAATCTTCAATGCTAGTATTTCCCTAATATAAGCATGCTTTTTTGAACCGTAGAATTTTGTTGCCATTATTTCGGCAATGATAAGCATGAGGACACGGTAATGTTTATATTGCCCAAAACCTCTGGAACACATTGCATTGGATTA